CGTGGTGATGTTGTGATTTTCGTTGGTACATGTGTGCGCGTTCATATATCCTTCGTGTGCGTGGGGTAGTATTTCGTTCGTCCATTATGTATCCAGTGGTAGTAATAATAATTCCAAAAGGTGCGTTTGTGTGCACGGTGTGCCCGTGGTCTGTGCGCGTCGTATAATGCATGGTTCCTTTGGCTAACTAAGAGTACTTGACAGGTTACTTCAAAGAAATTCTTAAATACATTTAGTAAATGAAAGCTGGAAACCATTGTGCACTGTTGTTGACATGATCTTATTGTAAACCATTGGTCAGAAGTTTCGCACATATATTCACGTGGCGTTGGTGTGTTATTGGCTGTTAGATGTGTGCGCATTCATATTACCCCGTGTGCGTGGCTTTAATGTTCGTTTATTGTGAATTTAAGGGTAGTAATAATTATTCCACACGTTCCGTTGGTGTGCACGTTCTAGTCATGGAGTGTGCCCAACTGTATTATATTGCCAATCCCCCTCCCTTGACAATGGTGCTACCAACTACAGAAATAAATAAATAAATCAGGGTGTTTTGCCCAATTGTAACTACTAAAACGTCTTCTTCAAATAAATTTTAAAATACTGTTCATAAATGAAAAATAACAACCATTGATCCGTGTTTTTGAAATAAACTTATTCTAAACTTCGCCTGGTGCAAGTCTGTCTGGACATGTGCGACTGTTGTGGCCTGGGATGTCGCATATATTGCAGGTCCTCTGTTTTGTTGGGTGTTTCTTTGCGGTGGCTTTCTCTCTGTTGCCAAAAATGTCTTGTGTCCGATGTCGAGTTGTCTGTTTATTTTTAAAAATGCTCTTCCCTCATTTGAGCATAGACAGTGTGTATGTCGTAGCTCGATTGCATGTACTTTATATTCGCCGGTGTCGGACTTTGTCATTGCCATACGCGCCTTACAGCCTACCCTGTTTGACACTCTCCTTCGTCTCTTTCTTTTGTTGGAATTATTTTTTGATTCCGTCGTTTCGGCCGTGTACCCCTCTCGTGAACACAACCTGCTCGGTTTCTACGTTTAGTTCCGTGTCTTACATCAAAGCCTACCTCCTTAGCGTATTCTAGGTAGAAATCAATCCCGTCGTCTACTGTTTTGAATCGTTGTCCTTCGAATGGTGTTTTCTCTTTATCAGTTGTAGGTTGCCAGTATTTTGCTCCATCCTCGGTTAATTCCATAACACATTGGTTCCAAGTGTCTTCGCAATGGTCTTCACCTATTCACCACAACAAATACAAATTAGTGGTGAGTTCAATTTCAAAATAGTCGTGTCCCTGATGGTTTCTGCATGCAGGTTGGAGGTCGGCAGTGTGTGCAAGGTTCACTATATCCGTGTGCACAGTTTGCGTTACAGTTGTGTTCACTGATAAATACCGTTGCTTGGTTCTCACAGTTCGTGCATGTCAGTGTTCGGTGTGTGCATTATCACCATTACAGATTTATTGAACTTTGCATTACATGCGTGACCTATCATGACTGATTCTAGACCTACAGGGATTACGAACGGTGTGCACCACGCGTTCATATGTGTGCTTGCGGTCGTAATGCCATACTGGTAATTCACATTTTTTTCCTCCGACACCATTGTCGGCGTCTCAAATTGATCCATACGGATTTATGCGGTTTTGACGACCAGACACATTACATTACCCAATTCAATATCGCCGTGTTCGCCCTACATTAATCCCGACTCGTATGTGTAATCAGTATTACTCGTGTGTAATTCATCACCCATTAGCCGTACACTATTACAATGAAGGTGGGAAGATTACTTGGTAGTGTTGGCGTTGTATACTCCATGTTTGCATCCAGTAGTTCTTGCCGCCGTGGTTGACCGGAGTTGGTTTGGGGAGGTTGCCGAGGATGCCAATTGCGTAGGGAAGGGTGGGGTTTGGAAGTTTTGATTTGGTTGAATCATACTGTAATTAGAGTCCTTTAACTTAGGTATATTAATATCACAATTTCAGTCGTACCTTAATTAGGCCTTCAATGCAATTGTCTTTACTACCCTTTTATTAATTGATACGTTTCCAGCATATGCTATTCACAATTCAATCTCATCCATTAATCTAATCTAATCTTATGGCTCATATTAGTCCGCATGTTTGTATTTTAAGGGGGTTTGCATGTGAATGGCTCCCTATATATATATATATATATATATATATATATATATATATATATATATATATATATATATATATATATATATGTTAGTTTATTAGATTAATGTTAGTTTATTAGATTAAGTTTGAGATATATATGTCTAGTCAGGATGTAATTCTATGATATTAGTTACCTAAACCTTTTTAAATTCACTCTCTAATTCTTAACACACGCTGCTACTGGAATCAAAAGAAATACAAAAACAAACCCTAGTATATACGACACCTTCCCCTCTTAAATCATCATCTTCGCAGTCGACACTCTCATTCTTTTCATTCCCAGTTTCGGCTTCGACACAAGAGAACTCCTGGGTGTCAATTTTTCTTCCATCTAGTGTCATCTATTCAAGGAGAGTTTGCAGAGGAGCAAACGTAGGACTCGGGTCAAGTGTGTGATTTGTTTTACGTATCCAGGTAAGTGCTTATGTCTATCAAAAATTACTTTTACTCTGTAAAAATATATATATATACTTCGTGATTTTGTGGGCATATGTGATATGGTATTTTGTGGTGATTGAAAAGGATAACTTTTACACAATTTGATCATTGCATGAGAAAATTCTGACTGGCGCAGCTGGAAAGAAAAATTCGTGAAAATTGTTTCCTAAATTTTTTTTTGCTTGAATTTTTTTATGGAGAATCTAGACTTGTTATATTTGATGTTTATAAAAAGTTTTAGTTAAAAATATGTTTCGGTTTTTCCAAAATAATTTCATAAAGTTTAGGCAGTCTGGTGCTGTGTTGAGAAGAATTTTGGTAAAAATACTTCTAGGCCTTAGATTGGCTTGAAACTTTTTGTGTGTATTCTAGACTCTTTATACTACTTATCTGGAAATTTTCATATGAAAATGTGTTACCGATTTTTCCCAGTAAATTCTGCAATTCAGGTCATAGTTTCTGAAAATTTTTGACAGTTTCTTATTTGAGATATTGAGAAGTTGCTTGCTTGTGAAATATCATTACTCTTGTTTTTTATAAATGTGGTGAATAAAAAGGTTTTTTTTTTACTCATATATTATCCAACTATGATTCTGGATTTACCAAATTTGTTGAGGAGTGAACAGTTGAAATATACTGATTCACTAGGGAGCCTAAAAACTCTCTGTTAATTGAGGAGTGAGCAGTAGAAACATATCCTGTCTCACTAGGACTTTTAGTCCTGTTGTTTTGAGGAGTGGTTAGCGGAGTCTACCACTAGGGTATTTACCCTGTTGAGTAGTAGTCAGTAGAAACGTATCCTGGCTACTAGGACTAGTTACTACCCGTTGGGCTTGGAAACCCATTGGGGGTGTGCACACTTAAGGTATTAGTTCTGTTCTACTTAAATGGGATTTTTGTGTAGTGTTCAGTATAGTGAGTACTGTTCACTAGGGCTTATCAAATAAGACCCTGCCCATTATTTGGTTGGTTTAAATGGGATTTTTGCGTAGTGTTCAGTGGAGTGATCACTGTTCACTAGGGCTTAAGTAATTAAGACCCTGCCCATTATTTGGTTTGATATTCATCTATACTTCCTAAAAATGATTTCTTTTGGAAAAGTGTAATTTGGAAAAGAGTTGATTTGAAATCTTAGGTTGAGAAAATTCTATGTGGATTGTGATGTGGAGTAAATGTTATGTTGAAGTTGAGAGAAGTTAAGCCTTGTGGCTAATTATTTTTGAATGTGAATATATACTGTATTAAATCCATTTTACAGGGTGGAGTAAACCTTACTTAGCAATGTTTTGCTAATTTTATTGTTTCGTGTTTCTCCTGTTTGTGATTTGTGCAGGTGAATGAATAAGTTGTTGGCTGAGAGCGCGCCTTAGAACGTAGTAGCTGTTTTATTTATGATGTTTTGGAGTTATTGATTCATATTGTATTTCTTTAGTTTTTGGATTAAGTTGTGATTGAATGGTATGGTTTAGAGCCTTACATCTAGTCAGTGTTAGATTAGATGTGGCGGTTTCACCCTCATTTATTATTAAGGACTTAAAGCTATTTTGTAAGTTGAATTATTAATTAGTTTCTAAATGGTGGTATGCGTACTTCAGGAATTCTATTCATGGCAGTTTCTGTTATAGTAGCCTATTTATAGCATGTGTTGAGAATTAAATTTGGGGGTGTTACAAGTTGGTATCAGAGCCTAGGTTAAGCCATGACAAACTAGAGTTTAGGTTATGGAAACTGTGCTATAAAAGTGTAGGTTACGAGCCTTTATAAATAAGAAACTAAGTTGGAAAGTTTAAGATGTGAACTCTTGAGTATAGGAAGTAGGATTGACTAAGGACCTAAAATAAATAAATAAATAAATAATAAATAAATAAAGTGAAGGGGTATTCAAGCTAAATGTTAGAGCCCTAAGATTTTAAGATTTTCCTAGGTGATAGGGTAAATCAAAATGAAGAGACCTAGGAAACTGCGGTGAGAATGTGAGTTTCACTATATTTGTCTTTCTAATTGGAAATGTATGGCCAGAATTAATTGTGTTTTGATTGGTATCCGCATGTGAAAAGAGGGTATTCTTTGAAGATATGACTCCTTGACGGAATGTGGTATAAGTCTTCAATGTTTTTGTGACTGTGTTAATTTGGAAATCTACTTATCGTTAGTATGAGAATTTTAAAAAAACAAAACAGTGGCTATTGCACCCTGGAAGTGTGCATCTTTCTGGTGAGTCTTTGGTTGCTAGACAAGTGGTTATTTTTTTTTTTTTTTGATTTATTAAAGATATGAGCAAGAATTAGAAGAAACTTGAAAAATTTGTGTATACTTTGCTCCTATGTGCCTATTTGCATCTGAAATTTTAGGGTAAGAAATACCCTTAGATGAGTGTTAGTGACAAGAATGTCTATTATTGTCCAGAGAGTCACTATGCCGCCCAGAAGGGACGTTGAGAACTAAGGTTCCCAAGGAAATAATGCCCCTACTAATGCTCAGCTAGCCGAGGGATTGCAACAGCTGACTCAGTTGACCCAAGTCTTGGGAAATGCATTGCTTAACAATCAAAATGGGAACGATGTGGCTAAACGAGTGGCAGCACGCCATCCTCCAAACTTCTTGGGGCAAGAGGATCCTGTCATCATGGAAGGCTGGATCCGCACATTTGATAAGTTGTTTGATGCCATAAATTGCCCAATGGAACAAAGAGTGGACACGGCTACATTTTACCTTCAGAAGGAGGCTGATAATTGGTGGGCTAGTGTTGGACTAGTACTACGTGAACAACCCGACTTTGGTTGGGAGAATTTCAAGGAGCAAATGAGAGAAAGGTTCTACCCAACACATGTCAAGATGGCTAAATATGATGAATTCCTGCATCTTAGACAGGGAAACATGACGGTGCAAGAATATTATGCTGAATTCTTGGAACTAGCACAATTTGCACCTGCTCTAGTTCCAGATGAGCCTAGTAAGGCTGAGAAATTTGTTAATGGATTAAATTTTGAGACACGGAAGATTTTATCTGCGATGACATTCCCTACCCTGTTCGCGGCGTATAACAGTGCAGCCAAGCATTATCGGGTGCAACAGATTCAGAAAGACGCGATTGGGAGGAACAAAAGGAAGATAGACGAAGATGTCCAGCAAGAGAACATGCGACCTAAGTTTAACCCTGTGGAGCCACACCAGAATTTTCAAAGGAATGGTAATAATAACAATAATGGGAGGAATCGATAAAGCCAAGGCTAGGGGTTTGTAAGAAGGAATCAAATGGGGGACCGACACTTTAATTGTAAGATATGCAAGAGGGACCACCCTGGAACAGATTGTCAGGGAAATTTGGTGAAATGTTATAATTGCAACAAGATGGGACACAGAGCCTATGAATGTTATGCTAAGAAGAATGGAGATACTCAAAATCAGTGGCAGAACATGAATAGAAGTAACCAAAATGGGAATAGAACCGGCAATCCTGGAAACAGAAGTGGAAATGGTAATGGAAATCACAATAACGGCTACAAGAATGGGAACGGCAACAACTATAACCAGAATAGAAATGGTGGGAACGGCAACAACTATAACCAGAATAGAAATGGTGGGAACGGCAACAACTATAACCAGAATAGAAATGGTGGCAACGGGCAAGGACGGATCCTTGTTATGAACAGAGCCCAAGCAAAAGCAAATGATGTGGTTTCAGGTATATTCTTAGTGAATTCTATACCTGCGTATGTATTGTTTGACTCAGGTGCGTCAAATTCATTTATATCTTCAACTTTTGTTAACAAACTGGGGATAGAGCCTACCTCTAAAATAAAGATAAATGTAAAGATAGCATCGGGTAGAGTGATGACTTGTGAGGATATGTATGAAAACCTGTCAATTGTTATTTTCGAAACCAACTTTCCTGGGGACTTAATACAGTTTGAATTGGAGGATATAGATGTGGTGTTAGGAATGGATTGGTTAGGCAAGTTTAAGGCCAAAATCATATGCGATGAACAAAAGGTGATTTTAAGAGGCACCAATGGGAAACGGGTGTCATACAAGAGAACTACAAGCAAACCAGAGGCGAAATTGGTGACCATGCAGCGGATGAAGAAGTATGTGGGAAAAGGCCATGAAGCTTATTGGTGTATGATCAAAGATTTGAACATAGAGGAGGAGGCGATCAACAAAATTCCAGTGGTAAGAGAATTCCCAGATATATTTCCGGAAGAGATTCCCGGGATACCGCCTGACCGAGAGGTGGAATTCTCGATCGATTTGGTACCAGGAACCGAACCAATTTCGAAGACACCATATAGAATGGCACCCAAAGAGATGCAAGAACTGAAGGAGCAGATACAGGAATTATTGGACAAAGGCTACATAAGGCATACTGTTTCGCCATGGGGTGCTCCAGTTTTATTTGTAAAGAAAAAGGATGGTGGACTAAGATTGTGTATCGATTATAGAGAATTAAACCAAGTAACCATCAAGAATAAATATCCTTTACCTCGCATTGATGATTTGTTTGATCAGCTGAAAGGAGCAGGGACTTTGAAGCAGGAAGATATATACTTAGGAGACTCTAGCTTTAAAACCAGGAATAGACTCGACAGGTAGGGATAAGCACATTAAACAATGATAATCAGTTATATAGAGACAATATCATAATGAACACGTTTCTAAGGTCACAGTTCACTTTCAAATCATTCACATCCATATTCAATCAACATTCATGTCACACAAGCACACTTTGGTGGCGCCACGGGACCAATCGCATGCCCCGAACATGAGGGTTAGTGCATATAGTACTAACACGGCCCCGCAGTACCCTACCTCATACCGCAGCATGAAGGAGTTGACTGCAGCCAATTGTATAGACCGTCGATAGTTTCAACGTCGGATCACAGCCCTATACACCGCCTGATCACTCATTCGGTGGACTATGGCCTTCCTCAGGCTAGTGGCCCTACACACCGCCTAGCGCGTCCAGTCGGTGGACCATAGCACACGAGGCCCATGTGGACCGCAGCCCAAGAAGTGAGTCACTGACCGAAGCCAGGAGAATGAACCGCAGCTCATGAGTAACCAACTTGACCGCAACCAAGATAACGAACCGCAGCTCGTGTATAACCAATTTGATCGCAACCAAATTGGGGTATCATGCTCACATAACACATAGCAACACATATTAGCACATTGGGAAGGGGGAAAGCGTATAAATAAACTTATCCGTGATTATCCAAATACTAAGAATAGTCCTAATGGGTTCATGCATCTTCTTCCTAGGTCAATGGGTTACCGATTCAACTAGCATGCAATACACAAGACCCTTTATCCTACGAATGGTACCCGAAACATCAAACTAGACTCATGCACGACAAACGGAGTCCGTTGGGACACCACGGGGGTTGGGGAACATCAAACGGGGAAGCCAAAGTTCCAAAGTGGGCAAATTCCAGCGAGTGGCTGGCGGGTGGAGGATCACCCGCCGGCTGCTCACAGGCGACGAGCCTCCGGGTAGCTGGTGCCCGGCGGGCAGACGTCTGCCCGCCGGCTACCCGCTGCCGGTGGCGTCAAAGTTGGGCAGCGGGTCCCCCTACCCCCACCTACCCCCCCCCCCACTGACTCTTTTCCAAAATATACATCCCGGGATCCTCCGTGGAACCCGAAACCATGCTTAGATACTTTTAAACGCAATTGATGACACCACGTAGACAATTAACGGATCAAAAGCAAGAATCACATAGAACACATCCTAACATTACTTCTAAACATAATCAACACCCGAACATGTGAATTCCCACCCAAATATGCCAAGAAAATCCCAATACGAAATTCATGATTCAACCTAGGGCTCTAATCATATTTAAATCACAAAATCATGCCTTATCTTTAAAAATCAAGAACATCAAGATTTATCAAGAACATCACACCATTATCAAGATCTTCTTATCATCATCAAGATCATCAAGATCACACATAAAATCATCTCAACAATTATCAAGATCATATCGCAATTATCATAGAAGATTTCATCAAGACACAAGTATAGAATAAGGAGCCAAAGAAGAAGATTATAGCAAGAAAAATAGGTTTTGTTGAGACATGGGTTTCCTCTTAGCCTTAATTAAATTCCTTGGCTATGAAGGGTCTTTCTTTAAGATCTGTTCTTTCTTGATTTCTCCTATGGGAATTCTTGGGAATTCTTGTGTGGTGAAAGTTATTGTGGTGTGGATTCTAGGTGTCTCCTAAGTCCCTATTTATATATCTAAGAGTCCCAATTAGGGTCTAAATGGTGTGGGTTTGCTAATTCTAATCCTTATAGGACTAAGGGATTGGTTTTAGGGATAAAGGTCCATGGACTATGGTGGACCCCTTTTTAGTTAATTAATGGATTTTAATTCTCTTTTTAGGGTAAGTAGTTAAATAATTAGTTTGGGTTAGAGGTCGTAACACGGGGTGTTACACTCTCCCCCCCTTACAAGAGGCTTCGTCCCCGAAGCCGGTGCGTGGATCTATTCTTTCACCCCTGGACGTCACGTATTTTGGCCTCTTGGTTAGGAAATGTAGCTCCACGTGTTGTCTTTGCTGGGGTAGATTGGATTTATGGTGAGGTGGTGGTTGGAATGTTCGGGTTTACCTTGGTTTCCTGCTCCTGAGCTGGATGCCCCGCGAGTGCGAAATATCGTCTCGATTGCTGCCACCCTCTGGTCTAGTGCACACGTCGCGTGGATTAGGGACGAGAACCCTTCGTCCATGATTTGGTTTTTCCGGGTGAGCTGCGCGAGGATGCACTCGTTGATGGATTCTTCATTTCGGCCCCCTGGGTTTCCCCTTTCTTGTGCGGGCGCCAGTGGGTTAGGTTCGCTATCCTCCTATTGTTCCTCATTTCCTCCTAGTCCCTCACATTCTTGCATACCCGTTTTAGCTTTTTGTTGGAGATATCCAGTTGATCGACCAATTCCCTTTGTTCCTCTTCGGGTTTAAGACAAACCTCCTCGAGGGTGATGTATTGTCCCCCTTCGGTGTAGTAGATGTCATTGTGGTGGAGGTTCTGGGCATTGGAAACCATACCGCTTACGGGCTTGATCTCTGTGTGGCTCAGGTCCACTCCCTTCTTCTCCATGATCCAACTTAGGATCATCCCGTAAGGTAGACTAAGCCGGTTGTTAGTCTTGCAAAACTCCATGTGTTTCAACACAAGGGCTGGTAGATTGAACTTGATTTTGTGCTTTAGGAAGTAGGCAAAGGTACACTCCAGGCTTCCCACATCCTTGCTCTTGTTGTTCGTAGGCAACAGGCTATCAGTTACAATCATGACTAGTATCTTTTGTTCAGCGATTAGCCATTTCTTGTTAGGTCGGGTGGCCGAGGTGAAGCCTTTTTCCTTTCCTAGTAGGTACCCAAGGTAGTCCATATACCCCGTGCCTTGGGTACCGATCCACCCCTTCCGGTCGTAGTCCGACACACCCGTGGTGGTCAGTTTTAGGAGTTTGGCCAAGCGACCTTCGGAGAGTACTATCTCCTTGCCCCGGACTTTAGCGGTGATTTCCAATTTGTCACCCCGCTTGACAGCTGCCAAGTGGTGGTAGAATTCTTTCACCAATTCGGGGTATGTGTCTCCCTTGATTGTGAAATAAGTATCTAGGAGTCCTTGAAATTTAAGCATATCGACCAACTCCCGAGAGAATTGGTCGGGTTCGAGAACTTTACCTCCGATTACTGTGTAATCGGCGTTGTTCCATTCTGGGGTATGGATTCCAACGGGCATTTTCGGTATTTTGAAATCCCTCGAGGTGGTGATATTTTTCCGGTGAGGCTCCGGCGAACTTCCGGCGGGATTCCGGCGACGAGGCTTTTCCGAAGGCAAAAGGGCGGCGGCGTGGAGTGGGGAGAGAGAAGGAGAGAGAGAGAGGGTGAGGGAGTGTGGAGGAAGAAGAAGGGTTTTTGATTTGGGGATTTTGTGGGTTTTAGGGGTTTGTAGGGGTTTAAGAAGGGAGTGTTCCCTTAAGGTTTGAAGAAACACTCATGGCTTAGTGGTTAGGGATTTGGGCTTATAAGTGGGAGGTTTAGGGTTCAATCCCCCTTGGTGACATTTAGTTTTCTTTGTTGTGCTTCTTGGCTTTTTCGTTCTTTTGTCTTCTAGTGGTAGAAGATTTGGTGGGTCCTTCTTTTTTATTGATGCAGTTTTTTTTTTTTTTATTTTTTTTCTTTTTGGGTAGTCTAGTCCTTTTTCTTTATGCTTA